TTTGTACTCTCAATGAGACTACTGGCTTAGAACGCCTATAGGGTCTCAATTTCACCCTAGACCTCAAGTGGAACACATCTATATGATCTATAGCTAAAGATGCTAGAAAACGCGTCGGCTCGGTCTACTGCTCCTGAAATCATCTGACAGTTTTTATATGCTTTATCGCCAAAGAACGATAGCAAAAGAAAAAAAAAACAAAGAAGATTATTACTGCCATGCCTGGGTTGGAGCTGCCCGATCGTTTAGGCAGCTTTGTGGGGATGATTTGTTTTAACTTCTACTCTGTCTCTTTTTCTTACAGACATAACGCCTCAAATCTAACGTTATTCTTCATCCATGATAAAAGGTTCAGAAGAGCACAGTGCTACCATTTACATTGTTCGAATTGTTCTCCTCATCCTTATTGTAACCATCACGACGTTTCGGCCGTTGTACACTTCAACCTTCTTCAGGTGATATCTGTTGGAATTTCAAACAGAATAATTTATTTAGTCCACCGGGTGGAAGTAGATTTTTCTAATTACACATGCCTTACTTTGGATATCTCAGTTGATAACTCAGTTTTTGTTCTTTCTGTTGTGGCCAGGGATTGAACTCACAAACATTTTAGATCAAGTCATTTTTGGATCGATCAACCAACATTTTTATCCACTGGGACATGTGAGTTAATTAGTGAATGAAGTTTTTGGACTTATAAATCTTATGTCCCAGTAAACATTTTTTCTCTCTCTTTAAAACTGCTTCTCATATTGTTTCTGGGCCGACTTAGCAGATTTTTGTAGGTAGCATATGCGCTTATTCCTTACGTTTTCGTATTTTCTTATGACGTTCTCTGTTTATAATTGCATCTCTATCCCATAGAGGGAGGTGATCTCACTTTTTTCTTTATATAGTCAGCCTGATTTTTCTGTTTCCATTCATGTTACGGCCTAACGGTGTTCCTACAGTCCTATCTTAAGAAGACGACATTTTTCTCCTTTACATTTCTTGCTACGGCTGCAGGGGATGTCGTACACATAGTCCTTAGTCATGTTCTGCTCTATGGGAGATCTTAAGCGGAAGACATGTCTACTTATGTTATATGGACCACAGATATTTTGTATGTTTTTCGATAAGCCCTTCACATAGGTTAGGAAGACTACCCTTCTGTAACAGTTCGTAGGAGCTGCTGTCATGTACCTAGGGTAGTTGTTACATTGTAGGGTACTTTTTATATTGACCATTTCTTGAACTTGTTTTAGCCGGAGATTTAGTAAAAAACATATTTTGTATCATTCTCTTTCATCTTTTCAAATCATTGCATCGTCTTTCTATGGAAAAATGTTTATTGTGATGAGTCAAAGCTTTGCCACATAGATTTTGATTATGTCGCAGGGAATTATTGTATACCTTGAGTAAATTTATCTACAGAAAACAAAGAGGCTTTAGTTTCTTTTTCATATTCAAACACAATTGAACTCTATTTCCAACGTAATGTTTTATAAAAATTCTTAATATTTTATCAATTTTTACAGAACAACTTTCAAATTTTTCCTCTTCCTATTGCAGTTAAAATTCTTTGAAGGCTGGATTACACAATGTTTCTCATTTGGTCCATCCTAGCATTCCTTCAGGCATATATTTACAGTTCTCGTCCTGGAAGTGGAATTTTTTAAATCACTCTTGCTTTTTTTCTTCTGTCTTCGAATGATAAATTTATGTTTCCGCTCGCTTCCTGTGCATACTATCCCATAATACTATCCCAATATAATCATTATGAAAACGCGAAGTCAATCCAGCTTTACAACAGTGAAAACCAACGCCTCTGAGTAATGATTTTCAATACCAAATATGTATATTTATAATAATCGGTATGTAGATATGGAATAATCGAATACCCGTCTTCTTGATTTGATCCTGGCGTTACCTAAGTATAATATTGCAACCTCCTAATATTGTAGAATACAAAATTAATATAATTCATATCTAAAATATCATATCATAAAACTTTTCGATATTTACTGTTTGGTTATTGGAATACTTATCGACGTGATTACGTATTCTAAATATATGGTAAGTTTAACAAACTTTTTCCAATTTGGGCCACCAAAAGCCTTAAGGGCCACTCAGTAGTAATGCTGAATAAAGGATGTTATATGAATCGAAGGTGTTAGGAAATGCATATTATAAGGATAAGAAAGATAGATAACTATTGAACATTGATTTGAACGGAAAGCGGTGATTGAAGCATTCTACTTGTATTTGAAATACGGTGGAAATGTGGGTGATTCGACACCGTGGAGGTGGCATGACATATCCTAGTTGTGAAGGTCTGAATTGGTAGAATTAAAGAATGACGCTGATACGAAGATTTTACAAGGGCATGGCGATAATGCAGTGACAGGATTTCCGTTTTGCGTCTGTGGAAAAAAGGTTGCAGAATTGTGAAATAGGTATTTCGCAAGCGACTGCATAACCGATTTTGATCACTATCAATTTTGAAAGGTGAGGATTGTGCAGCTCCAACCCAACTATGGCACCAATACTCTATTTGTGATTCTATATGTATTTTGGCTATATCGCATTGAGACAACGGTTCTAGTACGATCACCGAAGCTAAGCAACATCGAGATTAGTCAGTAACTAAATGGGTGACCGCTCGAGAATACCAGGTGCTGTAAGCCTGGATGTGCGGCTAGCGTAATGTATAATGGCTCAAAATTGTTAAACCGAGAGCCAATTTCAATTCCCTTACACGCATATACCCTTGGGAAAGTTACCATTCCAGATATTCTCTCTGCAACTATTGGTAAATTCGTAAGAATTTTATCATTAAAACCATCATTTCTCACACACTCTACAAAGTATTACCTACAAGACATTTAGATTTTGGCATTAAATAACGCATAGTTCGATATCCTGCTAAACAAACTCAACTAATCAACCAAATATATTGTTGGAATTTCATTTGAGAACACTATTTTACAAGTTCACATTCTCGCTATTTTTTCTATCCTCACTCCAACTTCTTTTTACTTTCAAAACCGGCTCCCAAAGCCTTGATTCTTATCAGAGATAAGAATATATTTTCTGACTAACGAGCGAGCTGGAAAATATAAAAAGGAATTCCACCACCCTTATTCTTTCAATGGTGCCATAAGGTTTGGGGGAAACCTCACAGTTTGTTCACTCCAACCTGTTTTCATTACTTTCAAAACCGGCTCCCACATCCCTGATTCTTATCAGAGATAAGAATGTGTTTTCTGACTAATAGCGAGGCCAGGAAATTTGTACAACGATTTTGGAGGGAAAAGTTCTCGATCCATCGGAGCCTACCAAATCTCCATTAATTTGGAGAATCTTTGCCTATTTGGCAGTGAGACTTCAACCCGCCGTCTGGGAAGTCGATGATAGGGAACTCCAGTCAACTTCCGAACCACTTTCAACCAAAGAAGAACTACCTACTAAAGGGCTGTCGAGAACGAACGTCGGTCCACAATTCAAGACCAATTCAAAGCTGCATCCCTTCACCACTCCTGTCATGCCCACTAGACTTCTGTTGTCGACCTACGAACATACTCAACTGCAAGATTCCTATATCTACCAACAATTTTCCTACTCTATAAGAACTGTGAGTGTTTCTAAACCATAACAATATTCTAATCACTTAAAGCTCAGAGAAATATTTTGAGCAAGCCTTTTTCTGTCTTCCCTTAAAGGACATTTTCTCTTTTCCCTTTCTTTCACTCTTAATTGTCTTTATCCCTTTACCCTTAATTTGCTGTATATGTAAATAAACACTTTCTTCTTTTATTGTTACACACCTAGTAGGAGTTTTTCTTTATTCATACGCGCCTAAAAGAGACAGTTTGTCAGCTCTAATCTTGATGATTTTTACCCCAGTTTTGTCGCAATTTTTAAAAACCCAATTTTTTAACCTCAACCTTTTGATGTGGGAAAGCCGGGACAATTTCCCCCGTAATATGTCTCTTGCACAGATAATGTTTTACAATAGAGAAATCATTTACATTCTCGATATATTGAGCCAAGTATTTCTCCAGTTTCTTTATGTTATGGGGTCCACCCCTTTTTCTTACAAGTGGACTTGCCCAGTGTGTACTTGTACTGCTGCCGGTGAATACCCTGAAGTCAGTCAGACAGTGTGATACAGGGTGATAGAGTGAGGTAACCGCTTTGTAGGAGTCACAGTTGCGAGCACGTAGACTCAGAAGGAAGTCATACTTCGATACTGGATTTCCCAGACTGTATATATATTATTATTGCTACTAACCGCATTTCTGGATCTACTAACTGTATTACGAATTGTATTATTACGTCAATACATTTATTTGTTATATTTCATTCCTGCGTTTGTCATTCATTTGAGACCGGATTTCATCCCCGGAATCCACAACAGTTTAGCAATCGATTTTATAGACCAAGTTTTGATTTACCTATTTAAAGAATGCACATTTCTATCAACGCGGCTCCAGTGAACGGATTGGTAAATGAATTGTATATATGCGTTCTACTTGACGTTTGGTGTGGAATTGCGAGCCGATAGATATTCAAAACTTCGTCTCACTTTGCTACAAGACTCAAACAGTCACTATACAGAGCCTATACACTGGCGTATCACTAGTGTATACTATGCTTAAAATGCTTATCACCAAGTTTGTTGTTAATACGCCTGTAGTACTATTTACACTGTACTCACTAGTGTTGGAAAATCGATTGCTGGAAAACAACAAAATCGCATTTAGAAACCAAAAGTTACTGACTAAATAACAATTTATCATTTACTTTTTTTATCTCCGTGTTTACAAAAGATTTCATTCAACCTTTCGGTAACACATTGTCATACGCTTTTTCTTTCCTTTACGCATTAGTAGACCGTCATTACAACTAACACCGTTTCGAAATTCAAACTGAATTCGCCAAAAATGACAATCTAATCAATAGCGAACGTTTGCACACATGACTGTACGCCTGATATTCTGCCGTCCAAAAGCGACGAGATGTCGCCGATTGAGACACGGTCATGACAAGTTGACGTCAAAGAGACAAGAAATGATTCGATGCGATCTCTGGACAGTGTTCCAGAAATAATAATAAAAAAAGACAGAACCGGATATTTCAATGATACAGACCGAGTCGACAGCAATCACACTCATGCTTACGAATTTACAAGAACCGGGTTGTACTTTGTAAAGATATATGTCAAAAGGTTTTGCTGTCATTAATGTCGGCTTCAGGGAATTTTTGTACTGGAAAATTTGACTCACATTCACACGGGACGGAATATACATGTGAGGCCTCAAGTCAATTCAGTTACACAAATCACATATCTACGCATACTAACCCCAATTGTATATATATATATATATATATATATATATATATATATATATATATATATATATCATGTAAGGCCTCAATCTATTCAGTTACACAAATCACATATCTACGTATACTAACCCCCTTGTATATATATATATATATATATATATATATATATATATATATATATATATATATATATATCATGTAAGAATCTATTCAGTTACACAAATCACATATCTACGTATACTAACCCCAATTGTAGATACAAGCTAACTTTTAGGTACGTATATTTTGTATATATATATATATATATATATATATATATATATATATATATATATATATATATATCATGTAAGGCCTTGAGTCTATTAAGTTACACAAATCACATATCTACGCATACTAACCCCAACTGTAGATACAAGCTATTTGTGACTAGGTACGTAGCTATCTCTCTCTCTCTCTCTCTCTCTCTCTATATATATATATATATATATATATATATATAATTAGACATAAATATATATATATATATATACATATATATATGTATATATATATATAATTAGATATACATATATATATATATATAATTAGACATAAATATATATATATATATATATATATATGTATATATATATAATTAGATATATATATATATATATATAGAGAGAGAGAGGGGTAATTAGCTAACGTTTTATTTATGTTCCTTCACAACGTGGATTATCATGTGTCTCCATAGTTTCCTCTCCTTTATTGCACTTACGATTTCTTCCCCTTATTAACACATCCAGTTCTTCTGCTGTCCATTTACACGAGCCCTTTAGATGTTACCCTCTGTTTCTCTTGATTTCCCATTTACGGCCACATCAAATTGAAACACCGATTCCTGTACGTCCCGTGAAGTTAAACAAAGTCGAGTCTGATTAGTACCTTGATGGGTGATCGCTTGGTGGTACCAGGGGATTTTAACTTGGATGTTCGGATGATGTAATTAATAATGTCTCGGAACTGACGTTCAGCTACCCTTAGGAAAATTATGCATACACCTGTTCTACCCCGCAAACACAGTATTGTGTAAATTATTAAGATTTATATCACTAAGTCATTATTATATCCAAAACAAAATTCTTACTATGTAAAATTATTTCCTGGTTTTAAATAACCTGCAAAAGATTGATAAGCTATAGAAAATGAATCAAAGAATCTTGCTTTTAATATATCCTGTGAATGTCGAATTCCTCGAACGTTCTCTCCTGATTATGTGTCGCAGAAAATTCAACTGGCTTCTTATTTTGTCTATTTTTTTTTTGTTTTCATTTTGATTAACACTCTCTCGTCACTCTCATTTTTTCTCCGTGGGATTCTCATCAGCTTTCTCTTTTGTTTAAAACTTCCGGTTTGCTTAGATGATCTGCCCTTGGTATTTTCAGCGTCTTTATATAGAACCACATTTCTGATATATATATATATATATATATATATATATATATATATATATATATCATACATTTACTATTAAAGCATGCTATTACGTACAACATATTTAAATTCCGGCATTGGATGACACGTGGATATTGATGTGATGCTGAACAAATTTAACCAACCAACAATATATATTTATAGTAAAATTACCAACAATACCAATTTATTATAAAACTAGGAACAATATATTTTATGTGGAATTGAAGGGATAGAAATGCGTCCAAAATATGTAGATTTTATTTAACCCATAGAAGTAGCCATACCGCTAAACATAATCAACTAATCAACTAATCAACCTTTTCATCTGCGAGGAAAATGTCCAGCATTCACTGCTATATACACCCTTGTGCAAATTAATTGAAATAACCACTTTAGTTTCCTTTCTTTCACCATACGGTCAGTTTTAGACGTACTGGAGCGACAGGGTGTAATCGATTTCTATTTTTTCCTCAGATTAGGCCATTTACAGTGGGGAGCAATAATATGAATCTATTTTCGGGGTTGGGTATGATGAAATTGTTTGGCTTTGAAAAATATTCCGTCATCCGTGATTGCATCAGATTTTTATCACGCCTTGACACTATTGTCTTGGCTGTCGATTAGTTGTCTTACGGACATTGTCTGTGATGGGCGTTATTCTAAGGGAGGTTAAGAAAATTGTAACAATACACGAACACACTAGCAAGCTTCACCAGTGACCAAATCAAAGTACTAAACACTGAACCGAAATTCTCTTGATTTAAATTCAATCGAGAATCCGTGGTCAATCCGCAAAAAAAAAAACACATCGTGGAATGGACATACGAAGTACTAACATGTGCACTTGGTCAAATTTTATTGGAAAATACGTTGCATTAAACCCCATCCATGCTTTCTGCTATTATTTCTAACCTTGATTGGCACAAAGCATGCGGACCCAATGGTAATTAAGAAGTGTGTTTCGGAACTGTCTCCTGTTCTCATTAAACTGTATAATAAATACCTGGCTGTCTCCTGCTGTTGTGTCTGATGAAATTCAACCACTGTTAGCCCAGTTTTTAAGAACTCTGGTGAATCGTCCGACCTTTCTGACTATCGACTATTTAGTCTGCTACCTCCCTTTGGGAAACACTTAGAGGCCATGATTAAATTTTTAATGGTTCATCATCTCTTATCGTAGGGCCTTTTTCTCAGACATCAATACCACTTTCCTTTCTCCAGGTCAACTGTTGACGATAATTTTGGAAACGTCTTTCATGCTATTGATAAAAACAGTGATGCACGGGCTGTAGCATTGGACATTGCGAAAACCTTTGACAGAGTCTCGCATACAAGTCTTCTCCACAAGCTGAAAAGTTACTGTGACATGATTCCTATCAAATCGTGCAATGAAGGTTATCCTGAACAGCCACTTGTATAGATCTATTCGAACTAACGCGGGTGCCTCTCTGGGTTCAGTCCTTGGTCTGACGCGGTTTTTAGTTTCCATTAACGATCTTCACGATGACATCAGCTCACGAATTGACATCTTTGCAGACGACACAACCATTTGCTTCTTCCCAATAGAAAGGCAGATCAGTCAGCAAGTTGAAAATGGCAGCCAGTTTCAAATACAACCTCAAGTCCGTCGTAAACTGAGGCAAAAACGGCTGGTCAATTTTGACGCTTCCAAAACTAATCTCTACCTTCTATCAGCATGGCTGATGTTAATCTCCAGGAAAGTAACTCGTCTCTCTTTCTCTGGGTAATGTTCTCAGTTGACATGAAGTGGAAAGTCTATATTGAATCAATTGCTAGATCAGCTGCTAGGAAGATCTGTTCACTGTGTCGTGCGAAACCCCTTTCCTCTTCAGAATCTACTATTCGTCCATGCGTATAATATTGCACCCTTTTGTTTGTCTTGATAAAGAAGGATCAGAATTATTATTGGTCCTAATCTGGTGTTTAAGCTTCAGTCATTTACCAACTGCTGTAAGGTTGCTTCTCCGTGCCTTTTTTAAAAAATATGGCACCTAGAATCTACGAATTTAAGCAAGTACTAGACTGGCATTGAGATCTTATTCATTTACAGTGGACTTAGCTGGATTTAAACGTAAGTTCTATTCTAACAATTTCTTTTCTCGGACTTTTCGCTTGTGGAACCTTCCTTCCGGCGCCAAACTTTTCATCCAACGTTAATTTGCCCAAATTTAAATAAAATGTCAATCTCTCTCTCAGTTGTCCTTCTGATTACTCTTTTCTCTTCCTGATCATTAATGTTTCTGTTGCTAATTCCTCCACACCTTGTAATCCCTTTACACTTTAGGGGCTTTACTACCTTCCATAGGGTGATACTGATTAAGAAAAGAAAAAATATGAGAAGAGGAGATTAGAAATACGCAATGGAATGGGTTACAGAAACACTCTCATTTGTGATCACGTTTTTGGTTGCACATGTGCATATCCTCTAAACCCGATAAATTTCTACAAAAGCGATAGTATTGGTTCTTTATAGATTGCAATGGGTTTAAATAAAATCTCTATTTACGGCAAACAGACTTTGTTGTATAAAGCGTAAGTTGGACTGGGTGATACCTTTTCAACCCAACCAAGACAGTAGAGCCACTAAGATACAAAGGGTCACTGATTGTAAAAGAAAAAAAAAGAAAACATTAAACTGCAAGAATAATTGAAGAGTAAAAGACAAAAGATAACGATTGACATTGAATTGAATTGTTAAAGATCAGGGTTGGCTAAGAACGCATGGAGTCGAAGGAGAGTACCAAAATCAAGAAGTGCGAGAGAGAAAACATGGCCGAGTGGATAAAAGTGTTGTTTGAAGTAATCTAGCAACTTCACCCAAAGAGTTGTGAGTTCAATACCTGGCTGCATCACAGGTGAACAAAAATTTGGAGACTTGAATTACTAAAGGGAAGTAACTGAAACATATATATCCAGGCATATAATACACGTGGATCTAAAACAATTTACCTCGGTGGACGAAATAAAGGGTTCAGTTAGAAAGTCCAACGTATATCACCTGAAGACTGCCGGAGCGTGTAACGGCCGAAACGTTGTGAATATGACAATAAAGAAGAGTGCAGCAGTCCGAACAATGTAAATAGTGCATATAGGAAACTGTCAGCATAGAACCATAGTCAATCGTTATAGTAATATTCCATAGCCAGCTAGACAAGTCACTGCAATCGTATTGTCTTCTCCCTCTAGACAATTACCTAGGACTACTTATCATGAATAGATCAGCCCATTCATGATAGTAAAGAGGGTAAGTGACTCTTATCACAGCAAGGTCTAGTACTACGCATTAATTCATAGTGTTTAGGTGCCATAGCAGCAAGTTATTCACAAAGATTATCAGGATTGTATTTATAGGAAAAGATACAGAAAAAATAATCCTACTAAAAATATATATGTATTTATTTTTCAAAAACAAGAAAATAACATGAATGCAAATATTAAGAAAATCGGTACTTTTGTGAAATCTGAACAGAAACGACCCTAACTAATAAGGGTGGTTTGAACCTAACGTTAAAGTGTAGTCATTATCTATCTATCTATCTATCTATCTATCTATCTATCTATCTATCTATCTATCTACACACACATTAACGTGTAGTTATTGTCTCTCTCTCTGTCTCTCTCTCTATATATATACGTTAATATGTAGACATTCTCTCTCTCTCTCTATATATATATATATATATATATATATACACGTTAACGTATAGTCATTATATATATATATATATATATATATATATATATATAGATACGTTAATGTGTAGTCATTTTCTATATATATATATATATATATATATATATATATATATATATATATATACGTCAATGAGACTAAAAATTAAACAAAAAAAAAAAAAGAAATTAATGTTGCGGCATTACAAAGCTACGGACTCGTATACTTATCCGTGTCCTCGTCCAGATCAATTTTTGTATCCGTAGTTCTCAAAGGGAAAAGAGGAATGAGACCAAGTTTTGAAGAAGCGATAACGTCACACACACCTAAAGAAGAATGTAGCCCAAGGGACCTGCTCTCTCACTTCTCTTTTTAGCTCTATCGTTTTTTTTTTTAATCATTTCACCTCAAGCAAGGCAATAAAGCCACTAAGATGCAAGAGCGTACTGAGCGTGAAAGAATATGAGAAAAAAAAAACACATTATTAAGGATAGAGAACAATAATGAGACAGGGATTAAGAAGACAGAAGATAACGATTGAAATTGCAAAAAATGTTTGAAGTGCAAAGGTAACCTGAAAGCAAGAAACCGGAAGAGAGTACCACAAGTGGGAAGTGCTAGAGAAGAAACCGTTAGCATAAAACTTACAGTTACATCTAGCCATTTCATTTCTAAAAGGATGAGACCTAGCTGCCAATCTAGTACTGCGTTTAAATTTGTAAAGTCGACGTACGAAAGAAGAAATCTCATCAAAACAATAAAAAAATATTTATAGAAATATGTACAGGAAAGCTACATTATGACGTCGGGAAAGTGATTGAAACCGAGATACCAGGTCAGAATCGATAATTTAGAAAATTCGTCTCTGGATTTTACCAAGAACCTCTAAACGCAAAGCAGAAATCCGCATGTGGCAGCAATATTCAGTGGAAAGAAAAATAGTAGACCTATAAATATTAAAGATAAATTTTGTGGAGAAAAAGTATCTAGCCCGACACAGTAAACCAACATTCCTAGCAGCGGACCTAGCAATTGATTCAATATATTCTTTTTACTTTAGTTCAACGGAAAACGATAACCCGAGAATGCGCAATGAGTCATTCTACTGGAAGTAAGCTTACGCCATGTTGATGGCAGCCAAAAACGGACGATTAAAAGAACACTGTTTAGTTTTGGAGACGTTAAATTTAACACTCTGATACCTGACTACTGCCTTACCGGTGGTAGATAAAAATGGCGTAATGCCCAGTGAGCGGTTGAACAGTGGTAGAGAAAAATGAATTAATGCCCAGCCACAGATTGACAGTGGGTAAACACTTGTAACTATTTTTATATCTACCGTAAAACATTACATACCAAATTGCTAATTTTGACACAGGAGCTCAGGTAGAAGGTTAAAATTGTTCAAGCACACAGGGCTTAAAATATTAAAATTACTTCGCGAAATAGCGATAGATACTTGCCCGCAAAGATAGAGGATTGGCAAAGCGGCAAATTTATTATCACTGTTTTATTTTTCAGGGATAATTGACCTTGAATAATCTTGAATAAATGTCTTGAATATTCATGACCTTGAATATTCATTCGGCTATCGCATAATTACTTATCTCTGATTGGTTCTTTTATGATTGATTAATTGCTCTTTGATCTCGTGACTCGTCAATTAAAGGTTATTATCAGACAATTTTCGTCTTTCGTTCTGCCTTTTTCGTATGGCAAACAACTCACTGATTCTGAGCGTCAAATTATCACACTTTTTAAAGATCATCCGACGTGGGCATTGACGAAATATGCAGAAATTCTTCCTAAATTTTCCAGTCACATCAGCCATCAGTAATTTTCCACAGTTGTCCCACGTCTTACTGAATTTTTCACTTTTTTACTAGGTACAATATAACATGATAAACAAAAAAAAAAAAAAAAAAAAAAAAAAAATCATTTATTTGGACTGCCGATGCTGATAAGGGTCCCTACTGAAGAAATGCATGAAGACAACCATTATACTTCGGCAAGCAATGAAATACCATCTGTATCTGTTGATGTATCGATGTTTGCTAGGAGGAGATTAGTCAAACATAATTCTAGATTACTATGTTTATTAACTGTTGCTTCAGGACTTCAAATTAAAATGCTGTCATCTTTGATTCCGAACCTTACCATTTCTGTTCTATATAGACACCGACAGAACTTGTGTTGATATGCATGGAACTTTTCATTTTCAACTATTAGAAGACGGATTTAGGGAAGTGAATTTAATTATACTTTATACTATATGGAGAAGGCATGAACTCATCCAGTCCTGAAGTCTCTCTCTCTCTCTTTCTGTGTCTCATGGTCTAGTAAAGGTGATAATCCACAATAGTCCGTGTGAGCAATCTACACATTTCTCATAATCAAAATGGTATCAACTCTTCATACAGCGATAACAAAATGGCTACTTTATCAATAGTCAGTAATAAACTATAATGATTAGCCTATCAATCTGGCTGAAGGCCAGTTTAGAGGGCAGCCTTGTGTGAAATGAGCCTAAGAGCTATGGGGTGTTTTGATTAGCTTGCTGACGGCAAACGTACGACAGGCGCCAGTTTTATCAAACAAATTAGAAAAAGAAATAAAAGCAACATTCACCTCACTGTAAACTCTCTTTCTCTGTCAATCTCAGATTACTTTTTCATGGTTTGCAGAGAGTAGAGAAAAATGAATTGTCGCTGTAGCCAATCATTTCGACTTTAATTAATATACGTTCCTTATATACACCTTTGGCCATATAATGATGGCTACTGTGTATTGCTTGTTTGAAGAAACCCGTATCTGTCAATACATGTAAATCATGATTATCAAAGAGTGTAGAAAAAATATTTTCATTTCTTAGAAACAATTTGGAGGCGTCAAAATCAAGCAAGCAGTGAAATTTAACAATTTGGAAAATGCTTTAACAGACGATGAAAAATGTCCGTTGTAACAGTAGGAGACGCCCTCTAAAAAATAATGAACATTATGAGTAATCATGAAATTTTCGTTAAATGCAAAGAGTACAGAGATTTTATTATAATACAAAATCTTCTCTGGATTACCGGATAACTTTTCACAGGCGAATAAGAAACGTGAGTTAATAGAAATGTGGTCCCACAGAAGAATTCTGCGAATAAAATTTACATAACATGAGAGCAACGAGGGTGTTATACGGAAAATGGAGACACTGAGAGTCTGGAAAGTTCGAGCTTTGATTCCCATTTTAAAAAATGAGCATTAAAGCCGCTGAAGCTGTTCACAGAATAGGAAAATCGAAAGCAAATCAGACAAAGCGCTGGTTTAAACGGCTTGAGATTTCTTACTGAAATAATGTCCAGAAATGGGCAATCATGATGTGTTAATTATGGGGCTTTAGAGAACAAGGAACAGAAGAATTTGAAAACTAGCACAGAAAAAAAATTTAGAAGATAAAAATACCTAGATCATTATATAAGCTTCATGAAAATGTTCGGAACATTAGCTGCACCTGTGTATAAGACATATGTTTATTTTTCAGACATTTTTAACGAGTACGAAATAAAAATATTGACGAGGTGATTGCCGACATTTTCTGAATTAAACGCTCTGATTGATGATTTCACATTTGAAATCTATAGTATTTTTAAAAATAAATATCGCATTTAAGGGAACTAGACAATTCCTATAACACACACAAACACTTAACAGAGACAAATCCCCTCTCCAGGACCAATAAAACTGCAAAACTGACCAGGGGAATTCAAAGAAGCATAGATACATCCAGCTCTTATCTCAAATAACAACTTAAAACATACTGTTTGACCAACACAAGGAATGTTAAAAGATTCATGTTAAAAAGAGAAAAAAATAAAAAAACAAATGAAAACTACAGACAAAAGTTCATTTTCTCCATCAAGACATTTATTTCTGTAGTTTACTGCTACCACCAAGCAGAAATATTTCTTCTCCTGATGATGGCCATTTTGGCCGAAACTAGACGAGGAATCTAAATATTAATCTACAACCCAGTGTGTCTGAAGATTTTAATTTTTTAATATTTTTTTTATTGTTCAATATATATATATATATATATATATATATATATATATATATATATATATATATATATATATATATATATATATATATATATTTATATATATATATTATATATATATATATATATATATATATATATATATATATATATATTGATTTGTATCACTTCATTTAAGGCAGTCAGTCATTCAATCAATTAAATTGGGTAGATCATGTATATTTCGATACATAATTGACGAGGCAGATTTTTCCCCCAGGAAATTGCCATTTCTTTCTACGGTAAAGTGGTTGCCAGCCAAATCTAAGGAATCCAGTCTGTCCTGATATTTAACCCATAACAGGGGGAGAAGAGGTGGATTCATACGTTTCCCAAGAGCATTTGTGCGTAAGTGAATCTAATGAACTCAACTGGAATTCGAGATCGCCAAAGCAGTAAATCTACTAAAAGAGAAACGGTTACAGGATGTGGAGGAATTAGGAAGAGAATCATTAAAATGAGTGAAAAGAAAAAAAAGATTAATCAGGAGGACCTTATCCTAACCGCCAATTATAAATTATGATGATTTTTTTTTCTTAAAAAATATAAACAGAAAAATAATTCAGTTATCATATAAAAAAAACTTCCAGAAAAGCTAGAATCATCGAAAGTTGAAAGAGATGCAGAGAATATCATAAATTTAATGAAATTAGATTGAGATTAAAAATCTATAAACATACAAAACATTTTCCCAATTATATGAGCAGCAGTGTCAAAATAAGAAAACTTGGCGCGAACAGTAACACTGTAGAGATGCAGGTGAATAATAAAAACGCGTTGTATACCTGAGTTCACATGTAATTTTTTTAGCTGTTTTATTCGTAATCCAGA